CCATGAGGAAAACAAGGTCTCAGATTACCCTGTACATTTGCCAGAATAGATTTGAAAGAGCACAGGACGATGCAATAAGAATACCATTGCAATATGCCAGGTAGAGGGCCTATGGTGAAAACATGTAGTGGCAGGAGACCTAATGAAGAGGAAAATACCGTGGAATCTTATCTTGCACTATCAGTTGATCATCATGGTAATCTTTATAAATTGCCACTTTGTAATCTATAAAACAGAAAATATTTCTTCTCTGCCTATATCACATGGCTATAAGGATTATGGTATTGAAAATGCGATGAAACAGATCTGAACACTCCATAGAGATAATATGATAGTCTATGATGATGATTATCAATAAGGAATGAAAGTAGATGATATTTGAAGATAACCCATAGACTAAGTAGATAGACTAAAAAAAAAATTGGAAAAATAATTTGAATGGAATGAGTAAAAATGTTTATTTTATTTTTAAAAAAATCTCAGTCTTTAGATATCTTTTAAAAAATCTCAGTATAATTTTACGCTAAAAACATCTAGTATTTAACTCACATCAGAATGATCTCTTAAAAATATGTTTGTAAATGTCACTTCCTGATTTCTTATAAACCTTTATTGGGTAGTTCAGTAGAATAAGTCACCTAATTTTGTAATTAATGTCTTACAAAGACAGTACAATATCTTTTTGTCTCAATTCCAGACAGATTTTTACTGGATATTTTGCAATCTCATTTAAATACCACACTGGGAAGGTGTGTTTTAACTGTATTAAGTGTTATGAAATTCTGATGATTACTTTTTGAAAAAAAAAATTAGGAAGTTTATTTTTTGCTTTACTTACAAACATTCTCTTCTCTAACACAGCAATAACCAGTATGGCGCTCTTTGGGAAGCTTGAGAGTATCGACTCTTAGTTTGGGTCACTTGTGTTCAAATTCTGGCTTTACCCTCAGTGTCCCGGCGTACTTATTTGTAAAATAAAGATCTTTTTATATTAATTTTTTTCTTGTAAAGGCTAAGTGAGGATATCAAAAGTGTGTTTCAATCCTTAAAACAAAACACAAAACTTTTCATGGTTAACTGAGAATATAAAGTGTTCAAAAATAAAAGTGTTTAAGATTTAGAAATTTGTTTAAATGAAAATGTGTCTCTCTGTTTCTGTTACTATCTGCCTTTCTCTTTCTCCCATATTCTGTTTTTACTCCCTATCTAGAAAGTAAGTATAAACTATCGGAGTGTTACTTTTGTCTGTTCATTTCATGGCCAGATCTACAGCACCTAGAACCCCACAGCACCTAGAACCGTGCCTGGGAAATCAGCACATATTTGATGGATGGATGGATGAATGAATGAATGAATGAATGAATGAAGTTGCTCTACTTTGTAAATTTGCTATCTCAGTATTAGAAAACTTACCTCGAACATTCATTTTTACTGGTGTTTATATTTTAATCAGTGAATCAAACTTATTTTATTTTCCATTTTTGATGTGTTTGCTTTTAAGGTTTTTTTTTTTTATCTAAAGCTTGGGCCAATTTAAGTTTAATTTTTAATCAAAACAGTCTAATATTCATAACCAAAGTATTTTCATGTAATTCAGAAGACCTAGAGTGGGTCACAATACTAATTGCTAGGGAATTGCTTTTTATGTCATTTGAACAGTAATGAAAATATATTTGTGTGGATTAACTTTCATCAGAAACACACCAAATTTTTATATCCTCAGTCAGCCCTTTTTGACCACATTGCTCAAAAAATAGTAACAGTAGCTCCTTTCTACAATCCCTTGTAGGTAATTTTATTAATTAGAAATTTACTTTATTACTTCCTACTGATAATACTATTTGATATGATACCTTCTTCTGACTGTTAGGTTTTCTATTTCTCTAACTATTTGTCTCCTCCCTTTTTCCTTTCCTGTGTTTTCAATCAGACTTGGCCTGCTAACTCTTAGGAGGCTAAGGGACTCTGTGTGAACTTGTTTTTTTCCTTTGAGTTGTCTACTAACTCTTAAGTGCTTTAAGTGGATGTAGTTCAGAGAATGAATCACTTAGATGTTGACTAGTCAAACTAAATTGAAGATACTCTGTTCTTCTATTCAAAAAGGAAAGCAAAAGGTTAAAGATAGCTATCCAAACAAATTTAAAGACACATATAATGGGCATTTTTGTTCTTGATTTCAATTTATGGGAAGCCAGTATAGACAGTTTGCAATAATATTTTTAACCAAAAAATGTAAATGTTTTGTTTAGGCAGTCAGCTTTTTAAGGCCCTTTAAAAAATATTTATCTTTATTGTTGAAAGTATTACAGATGTCCCTTTAGTTCTCCCCGCCCCATTGACCCCTTCTATCCCTCCTGTACCCCTCCTCCCCCTAGGCCTTCACCACACTATTTTCTGTGTCCATGAGCTATACATACATGCATACAAGTTCTTTGGCTGATCTCTCCTACCACCCACCTCACTCCTGCCTTCCCTCTGAGATTCAACAGTCTGGTCCATTTCTCTATGTCTCTGGATCTCTTTTGATCATTGCTTTATTTGTTCATTAGATTTCATATTAAGTGAGATCATGTGATACTTGCCTTTCTCTAACTGGCTTATTTCACTTAGTTCTTAGTTCTGTAAGGAGTGGCAGTTCAAATTGAAAACGTAGTCATAGTCCCTGTTCTCAAACAATTCATGTTACGGTAGAGGGTTCAGCATGAGCATCAGGGAAGCTCTGATTGGTTCTGTCTGTGGTGGGTCTGGTGATATATGAAAAACCATGTGTAAATACTAATGTTTGAATTTCAGAATGTATTTCCTAAAAGGAAGTAAAAAGGTTTAAAGGGTGAGGATATCTGTAGGAGACTTTGCACTGTCATTACCCATGATTATCAATTATGAAGAGATATGCTTGCTCTTAAAAAACCAGAGAAAATTACCTTAGGTAAATAGCTGGTATTTATTGAATACTAGAGGCCCGGTGCACAAAAATTTGTGCACTTGTGGGGGGAATCCCTCAACCCAGCCTGTGCCCTCTCACAATCTGGGACCTCTCAGCGATGACCACTTGCTGGCTTAGGCCCGCTCCCCAGGGGATTGGGCCTAAGCTGGCAGTCAGACATACCTCTGGCAGCCCAGGAGCCCTCGGGGGATGTCCACTTGCCAGTGGGGAGCAGGCCTAAGCTGCAGTTGGACATTCTTAGAGCTGCTGAGGAGGCGGGAGAGGCTCCCACCACTACCGCTATATTGGCAGCCATCAGCTTGGCTTGTCGCTGAGCACAGCTCCCCATGTGGGAGCACATGGACCACCAGGGGGCAGCTCCTGCATTAAGAATCTGCCCCCTGGTGGTCAGTGTGTGTCATAGTGACCAGTCATTGCCAGTAGTTCTGCTGTTAGGGTCAATTTGCATATTATCCTTTTATTATATAGGATGCTCCTTTTGTTGAAATAATGGTTGTGCAGGGAAATAGAAGGTGACTAAAAAATTGCTTTCAATTGCTTGTTTAGTAGCAAGCCTACCTTTAAATATGGACTTAGAGCCCTAATCGGTTTGGCTCAGTAGATAGAGCGTCAGCCTGGGACTGAAGGGTCCCAGTTTGATTCCGGTCAAGGGCATGTACCTTGGTTGCGGGCACATCCCCAGTGGGAGGTGTGCAGGAGGCAGCTGATCGATGTTTCTCTCTCATTGATGTTTCTAACTCTCTATCCCTCTCCCTTCCTCTCTGTAAAAAATTAATAAAATGTATTTAAAAAATGAATAAGTATGGACTTAGATTGCTCTTGTGGTAAAAAAATAAATCTCACAAATTGGCCATATATGGTGGATACTAACTAGAAAAGATGCAGTGAATTCCACCACTTTAATATTTTCAAATTCTTAAACAAAATATGTATTTATTAGTGAATATGTTCCTCTATTTGTGTGTATGTGTAATTTTAATCAATAGTGATTCTGCAAAAAGAACTTAATATTTAGTATATGCTAATCACTATATGACAAAATATAATTCCTTATCCATAGATAATGAACTGTCATTGTTTAGCATGTATATAGTTAATTAACTTCCTGCTAATAGCATAATACTCCTAATAGCATAAGAAATACTAAGTACTACAATTAACTAATGCATCTGATGCTTACACGAAGCACTATGACTCACCAGAAAGTTTAATAATTGATATGACTGGTTGATAGAACCATTAGAAAACATTGAAATTCCAAAGAAACACTTGAATGACATCATGCCATTTTTGTGTGAAATGTCTGACATGTTGATTTTTAGTTCAATAAGAAAAAAATAATAAAAGAAATACAAAAACATTGTGGACATTTAAAGAAAATGAAGACAATCCCTCTTATAAATCTACCATTTAATTAAACTTACATTTTTTACTTCTTTCTAATATGATTAAAATCTGAATTTGCTTTGCTTATTATTATAATTACAGCCTCAGTGTATGTACACATTAGTACATAGAGAATATGTGCTAATGTGTATGTTTATGTGCATATATGGTTATATAGCTAAATGTACTATGGCGTTTCCCAGTGTTTTGTCGGGGGTTTTTTTGTGTGTGTGTGTTTTGGTTGGTTTGTTTTCCACAGCAATTCTCTCTAGGTAAAAGTCTTTAGATGCATCCTAGGTTCTTAGCTTGAAGAGCCTGTTGCAACATACCGGAATAGTTATTGGAAATCTCGGAATATGTTTGAAAGAATTCATGTGTTCTTTTAATTAGGAGAATATTTAAATTTCTTATGTACCAAATTCATTAACTTTTCTGAGTAAACATTATAGTGAAGTAGATCATGGAGGAAAAGATGTCACATATAAATTGAATTTTGTTTTTATGCCATGGTTTTTCTGCTATACTAGTACCTTACACATTGTTGGGGGAAAACTACATTGGCAAACAATGAAATATATAAAAACCTACTCAAATAGTACTACAACTAGAGCCATAAAATAAAGTATTTTTCATCATTAATTTAATGTATTTTTGTTTGTTTTTACAGAAGTGTTTAAATGTTCAGTAAATTGGAGGAAAAAAACATGGATGTTTAACAACTGAAAACCACATTAAGGTAATTAGTAGATTATTGTTGCCAATCCATTTTTTAGTAACTTACAAGTGTATTTAACATACTTATATTCAAGTTTGTATATTCTGTTATGAGTGTCACATTGAAAATTTATATTGTATAATGAGTTATTACGAGTTAAATTTTACATGTTTTGGAAAATCAATTGATAATTCTTGTGGACAAATACGTAAATAATATAGTTCAAATTATTTGCTGTGGTGAGGAATTATATTCCAGCTATATTAAATATAAATGAGCAACTAGAAATAAATAATTTCATTGGCTCTCTACCTCTTTGGAAAGGCAAATAGCTATACTATCTTAAATGTCTGATAACTATTCAGAATTTTGTTCTTAATTGCTGCATGTATACCAATACAATAAAAGTTATTTTTGTTTAATTTATCTAGTTGTTCTCAATTACATATGCCTGACAATAAATGTGAATATTAGGAAGTATGAATATTACTAAGTAAATTATTTTGAGAAATAATGTTTTTATTTATTACAAATATATTTATAAAGTTCAACATAAAAGATTTTGAAGAACATAACCGTAGGCCAGCATGCATATGTGCATGTTCTTCAGAAAATCATTTTGAAACCAAAAAATGTGGGTGTTTTGAGCCTGGTTCTTGTCATGAATGAAGTGGTGGACAAAAACGATTAATGGAACCAAAGTTTATCTGAGAAGCCTGTCCTGGAAAAGGTGTAGCTGTGGTTCCAGGAGCAGGACAGTGTCCAGAGTTTCTTTCCATGTTACAGTGGCGAGTAATTTCCATCCAAGCTAATTACAGTCTATTAGTCCATGTGTGGAGGCCCACATGGCCATAAGCCACATGGGTGCAGGGATGTGCTCTCCTGCCACAGGAATGAACCCATTGCATGCTTAGGGTAAGAGAGAGGGTAAGAGGAAATAGCACCTTTTAATTTAGGGAGTGGAAACAGCCTTGCCAGCTCCTGATTGGTCTTTTCAAAGAATTTCACCTTAGCAACATACTTGGGATTGGTTTATACACCATACTGCTTTGTGATTGGTTATCTGCAGCATCCTGTCTTAGCTATATCCATATGTCTTAAAGTTCATGCCTCTGGTCCTACCTGCCCAGTTGGGGTGCCTTAGAAAATCCACCTAGTTTTATTGCCTACACCTCCTGGTCCATGTCCCTGTCCACATAGCTGACCTCTGTCTCCTCAATTTGAAGACAAACTAGGCCTTTCTAATAATTATTCAACAGTGAAGTTGGAATTTCCTGTCTTTTTGGAGTTACTGAAACTAATTTCTGGAGAGCAACTTTGTATTGTCCACAATGTAAGTTATTATAAACTACAGGCCCGATGCACAAAATTCGTGCAAGGGGCTTGGCCCCTGCAGGCTTGGCTGGCCCTTGAATTTCCTTGCAGCCCCTCGCAGCCCCTCACAGCCCAGGCTTTGTCCGGAAGGTCATTCAGCTCTTTGGTCTAATTAGCCTATTAGTTTTTTATTATATAGGACTAGAGGCCCGGTGCACAAATATTTGTGCACTCGGGGGGGCGGGGGGTGTCCTTCAGTCCGGCCTGTGCCCTCTCGCAGTCTGGGGCCCCTCTAGGGATGACCACCTGCTGGCTTAGGCCCGCTCCCGAGCAATTGAGCCTAAGATGGCAATCAGGCAGCCCTTGGGGGATGTCCACTTGCCAGCGGGAAGCAGGCCTAAACTGCAGTCGGACATCCCACCACCACCACTGTACTGGCAGCCATCAGCCTGGCTTGTGGCTGACCAGAGCTCCTCCCATGTGAGAGCGCCCTGACCACCAGAGGGCAGCTCCTGCATTTAGCATCTGCCCCCTGGTGGTCAGTGTGTGTCATAGTGACCAGTCATTCCCAGTCTTTCTGCTGTTCGGGTCAGTTTGCATAGTACCCTTTTACTATATAGGATAGAGGCCTGGTGCATGGGTGGGGGGCGGCGGGTTTGCCCTGAATAGTGTCCCGGGTCAGGGTAGGGGTCCTGCTTGGGTGCCTGGCCAGCCTGGTTGAGGGGATGATGGCTTTTTGCAGCTGGTCATATCCCCGGCTTCCTCCATCACTGGAGCAAGCAAACCTCCTGTTTGCTTCAGCTGCCTGGCTTCCGGCCGCCATCTAGGTTGGCAGTTAATTTGCATATTGCCCTGATTAGCCAATGGGAAGCGAGTCGGAGGTATGGTTAATTACCACGTTTGTCTATTATTAGATAGGTTACTAGAGGCCCAGAGCATAACATTCGTTGCACTAGGAGCGTGGGGGATTCCTTCAGCCCAGCCTGTGCCCTCTTGCAGTCCAGGACCCTTCGGGGGATGGCCTAAGCTGGCAGTCGGACATCCCCCGAGGGGTCCTTAGTGTTGCCACGGAGTTGGGAGAGGCCCCTTTCGCCACTGCTGTTTTGCTCGCCAGCTGTGAGCCTACCAGCTGTGAGCCCAACCCAGGCTGAGTGGCACTCCCCCTGTGGGAGCCCTGCTCAGCCAGAAACCAAGCTTGCTACTTCTTAGCACTGTCTCAGAGGCGGGAGAAGCTCCTGCCACTGCTGCTGCGCTTGCCAGTCGTGAGCCTGGCTTCTGGCTGAGCAGCGCAACCCCTGTGGGAGAGCACTGACCTCCAGGGGGAAACTCCTGCATTGAGCGTCTTCCCGCTGATGGTCAGTGTGCATCATAGCGACCATTTGTTCTGCCATTCAGTCGATTTGCAAATTAGGGTTTTATTTTATAGGACTAGAGGCCCAGTGCACTAATTTGTGCACAGGTTGGGTCCAGCGAGCCCGCCCCAAATTGGTACTGATTGGACCAGGCCAGCGGGGGGGAAGGGGACACGGGAGGTTGGCTGGCCGGACTTGCCCCTGATTGGGATTGTGGGGGCTGATTGGGGGTGGGGCCGGCTGTGGGTAGGGGCTGCCAGTGGTTGGCTGCCAGTCCCGTCCCTGTTCTAGCCTGGGCCAGTCGTGGGGAAGGGCCACCCCCCGATTGAGCCGGTTGTCCGGCCTCAGTGTGTATTATAGCGACCGGTTGTTCCAGACATTCTGGTCAGTCTGGTTTTCTGGTTGCTTGGCTTTTATATATATAGATAGCCTTAAATTAGATTAACTTTATTATTCTTCATATTAAACTAAATCATGTTCATTTTGAATTACTGATATTATATGTTTTATAAAGTATTATCAATGTGTTTTCAAAGGTTTTCTATTTTTCTTTTTAGGGTAAGGTAATGAGTAGATTAGACTATAAAAATACTGCACTTGCCTTTGTAGGCACTAACTTGTACAATTGTTATTCTTTCTTGTGATATTTTTGTCTTAGTTTCATTGTCACTACTTTCTTTCCACATTTATTCACAATGCAAATTAGTATTTTTCCTATATTCCAGAATAGATTTGATTGAATTGATTTTATTTATATTTACTAGCTTATTTATACATTAACATACATTTTCAGACATTCTGTTACTGACTTGCATATGAGATGGATTT